GTGGGATTAAGGCTTTGTTGTTGTTGTTGTTGGAGTTTCTACTTTTGAAAGTGTAATTTATGTCAGAGAAGGATTGGCTGGCCAATTTATTTGTATTTTGGTGGTTTTGCAGGATGAAGATGGGAAAAAAATGCTTAATGAGTATGTTAGAGAATGTAATATAGGCCGTGGAAGCTATGGCAAAGTGGTAATTATGCTCTTCATTAATTGCTATTGAGTAATTTTTTCTCTTGGAGATTGTTGATTTAGGCACTTTTGTTGCTCATCAGAGAGGTTTAATTTTTTGCTTTTTTTGCAGGTTTTGTATAAAAAAATAACTGATGGGAAGAAGTATGCGATCAAGGTATCTCATACGGTTTTTTTTTTTTTTTTTTTTTTTTTTTTTGTCGTTTCTTTTGCCATAATATTTTGAAAGTCATCAAGACTGTCTTCATGTGATTATTAGATTCACTCATGTGATTTTAGAATTTTATTTTATCTCATATTTTGTATGTCCCTTTTTTTATGGTTATTTGTTTGGTGTCTATACTTTTGAGTACCTTTAAGTGTGTCAGACAATTCTATCTGTTTTTTAATTCTTTTGAACAGAAATTTTCAGATATGTCTTTTGTCATTACCAGTCGTAAAAGGGAATTCTAAATATAACAAGCAACATGTAGTATCTTAACTTAGTGCTTGAACAAGCTAAAAAAAAAAAAAAAAATTGTTGCTGGAAATGTAGCAGGAAATGCACCATCTATTTATATTAACTTATTGGAAGATTTATGTGCATGTCATCAAAGTGTTCTTGTTCAGAAAACTGACAACCAAACTTTTAAAATGAATTAACAAATTCATGTATTTGCTTATGATATTACAAAATTATTAAAATTTTTACAAATTATTGAGAAAGAAAGATAGTCTTTTTGGCATGCTCTTCAATTTTTGGATTTTATTATTATGAATAAAAGCATTTTGGTGGTGTTTCCATAAATATGCAGTACATGCCTGCTTGTGATTATGATCCAGAACTTCAGAATTAATAGACTTTTGTGATGCGTTCCTACGAGTAAAGAAAATTTTTATTGTGCTATTGACCTATAGGATTGGACAAAATCTAATATTGGAACGCAACTCCCTTTCTCATAGTGTCCTTTAACCTCCTCCTTTCTTTAGGTGGTCGTTATTTCTCATGTCTGTGTTGTTGATTAGTCTTTTTTATGCGTTATACTTGTTGCTACATGAGAAAGGGGAAAACTCTTTGCTTAAATTATAACATTTTCTTTATGGCCCTTCTCTTTACCATCGTTCTTTCCATCTAACCAAGTTGTATAAATGGGACAGAATATTGTTGAGAGTTCACATTCAAAATATTTTTCCAACAGTAGATCCTAAAGGTTGCTTTGAGACCTTCTTTCTCTTAGTTACCTCCCCCAACCAATCCACCACCATCAGGACATGGAGCAGAAGTAAAAAAATAGTTCCCTTACTATCAACAAGTGGCTCATTTAGTCTCAATTTTTTAGTGCTCCAATTTAGTCTTAAACTATTAAAAATTGATCCAAATTAGTCCCTAGGCTAAATTTCATGGTTGAAGTCAACACTAACTGTCAATTTTGATGGTACTTTAGGAATAATAATTTTAAATGAAATTTTATCTTTTTATTACTCTATTTACACGCATAATAAATTATTTTGGCATTTAATAAATGATGGATAAATCATATTTGCATGTAAAAATATATTTTTCTTCTTGATTAAAAATATTTTTGTAATATGTTAATGAGAGACAAATCATAGCAAAAATGTCAATTTGAAGTCCTAAAGATACTTTCTTTCTCCTTTGTTTTGCCTTAAATTCAATTAGAAACCAAAGGATGTGAGTGGAGTTGGAGGGAAAAATGATCTTTGACTTATTCTTTGCACACTGATGGCCGTGTCAATGCTTGCTGTATTTGGCTTCGTTCACGACTTCTCCAAGTCAAACCGATGCTTTGGTTTGACTTGGACATAGTAGATAGTTGCCCCTAGGGGGGAGGGGGGAGCCGGCGGGGTCGGAAGAGGAGAGCCGGTCCAAGTTGGTCTTTCATCGAAGTTTCTGTAGATCAAAGCCAAGTCACAGTCAAATCAACAATGCAGTGAAGATTCACATTTGCTGTGACGAAGTGGCCAAGTATATAGTTGGAAGAGATAACAACAAAGGTCCAAGGCCGTAGTGAAGAAACAACAAGGTCATGATGGTCTTCTTAAATTATAATCTTTTAATATGACCCAATTACCCTCAATAGGCAGAGCAACTCTGTTAAGTTAAACAGAAAATTCAGCCTAGGGACTAATTCAGATCAATATTTATTAGCTTGGGACTAAATTTGAGCATCACGACTAGTTGACCCTTGTTGATTGTTGGGGGGACTCTTTTGAGCTTTTGCTCTTTGAACATGTAATGTATGCTTTCTATCATTCTATGTTGATGTTAAGTGACTAATATAATGCTTAATTATCGAATTATCAGTTAAATACAGTATAGGCGTCAAACTTAAAACTGACCATGGAATTTTTTATTGGATCCTTTAAGTCCTTACGTACAATTTATTTCAGCATTCATTCTCATTATAACTTTGTGCACGGAAATAACATTACTCAACCAAATACTATGCTTTTAACATTCTTATGAAGGATGGTCATTATAGTATAATGTAAATTGATGTGAAACTTGCTAATGCAGGAAGTCTCAGGATTAGGATTTATTAATGCCGCTAAAATGATATATATAGTATGAATTCATGCAAATGAACTTTAGATTTTAGAGTTCACAAGCTACAAATTAATTCAACAACTTTTTTTCTTTATATGCAAGCAATGAATGCTAGAATTAAACCCAAATGATTATGAATGATTGTATTAATCCAAAGAAATAAATAAAGAATTTAAAACCTTTTGAACAACCAACAAATTTAATTTAGATTTCTCAAGTGGAATTCCATTAGTGCAAAATTTGAAGAAATACAAGAGCACTAATAGAACAATATTAAATTATGTTAATGAAATAAGAAAAAAAAATGTATGTGGAGATGACTCCTGTTGGAATCAGGTGGTCAAACTTGTACCACACTTCAATGAATGAAGCATTCAACTTGTAACCATTAGGTTTAAAATTGGGAAGAGATTTTATTTAGTTAATGTTTCCCATTTCTTATGACTCAAATCATCTATTTAAAAGGATTCATTGCATAGTCGAGTAAAAATGGTTGGCATATGATTAATCAAATTCAAGCTTAAATTTATTTTCAAAGGATAGTAATCATCTTAACAGTAAGTTTAAATCCAATTTCTTATCTCATTAGCTAAACATGCTAACAAAATTTGAAGAAATACAAGAGCACTAATAGAACAATATTAAATTATGTTAATGAAATAAGAAAAAAAAATGTATGTGGAGATGACTCCTGTTGGAATCAGGTGGTCAAACTTGTACCACACTTCAATGAATGAAGCATTCAACTTGTAACCATTAGGTTTAAAATTGGGAAGAGATTTTATTTAGTTAATGTTTCCCATTTCTTATGACTCAAATCATCTATTTAAAAGGATTCATTGCATAGTCGAGTAAAAATGGTTGGCATATGATTAATCAAATTCAAGCTTAAATTTATTTTCAAAGGATAGTAATCATCTTAACAGTAAGTTTAAATCCAATTTCTTATCTCATTAGCTAAACATGCTAGATGATTCCTCCATGTCTGCAGCCTTCTAGAAGTTGTAGAACCAGAAAGGCTGGGAGTAGTAGCAATATGTGAAACAGAAGCCATGAAAATGGGAAAAAATAGGGAAGAAAATCGTCTCAATCTTTGAATTGAGAGGGAGACATATCTAATGTTCCTAAAGTTTTTGCCCTTGCCCATAATTGATAATTCCAAAAGCCACCACCCAATGAGAGTGGATAAGCCAATGATACCATGTAAGAAGGATACTATAATCATTCTCCACATAATAATGATATAAGCAGTAAATTCATTTTTATACATATCTCCATTATTTATGGGAAGTCATTCTCCTCAAACTAGGTCATTTTTTTAACGTTGGAATTAACATGAATTTGGCCATATTTAAAATCATGCCAAACAATATGAACTTAAGCTAAAATAAAATGCATTTCTCATCGATCATCATCATTAGCATTTTTTTTAATTATATAAATAGCAAGAAAAAATAAGCCAACCAATAAAAAGAAAATAAATAATCCATGTTCAAAGGCAATTCCTTCCGCTTTATTGGAAGGTGAACCTGTAAATTTAGCCACAAATGAATTTTTTTATGGTTTTGTTTACATAGAAGGGATGATAACTTCCCTTCTAATATATTGTTTAACAATTCCAGGCTTAGAAGTCTTAAAATAAGTTAAGGAGGGGAAGGGGACATTGGGTAAAAATAAATCAATTTATGCTGAAGTGCTTCGATTTTTTTTTTTGTATTTTTATCTAGTAGAATATTATTTTAAAGGATTTTAACATGGGTTAAATCAGGAGTCAAAGAATCATTATGCTCAATAGATCTTTCAGAAACCGTAGAAGACATGTCAACCTTTTTAGTTAAAACAATTAAAGAGGCTGCAAACTATGACGAGATATTGAAGTGTGTAGGTTCTCAAAAGGACTTCCCTTCCATCATGAAAGTTTTGAGGAACCACAACCATAGAGGAAGATCAAGGGAGATAGGTTGGAGAAAGTTTAAGATTACTATGCGAATGTGAATTATATTTATCTAAACTATATAACTTTATCTTCTTGTGAGACGAGGTATATGTCTCAGGGTGTTTTTAGGCTTTAGCATCCAAATTAAATTATTAATTTAATAAAAAAAAATGAAATAATAAGTAACTTACACCAAAGTAATATGTTAAATTTGGTCCATATAAACTTAAAATAAGATCATAAAAATATATAAGATTACGAACACTAAATAATAAGTTATTTTCACTCATAATTAAATATAAACAAGTAGTTTAATATAATATTATAATAATTTTTTAATTTAAAAATTTTCCTTACTCTCATCACTTTGAGAGTCTTTAAGAGGATTATTAGTATACGTAATTGCTCTTTCTTTTTTTCATTCTCTGTTGTGAAAACATTCTCCATTTATTCCTCATTATCTTGAACTTAACCATCTTCATATTCCTTAATCAATAAAAATCAAATAAGGGTATTAATTAATTTTAAAGCATTTACATCAATGATTTTAATTTTTATTTCATAAAACTGTATACTAATCTTCTTTGTATTTTTTTTTTGTCTCGTGCTGGTTATTTTCTTACCTCCATCTAAGAATCATTGAGATATTCCTCCATAATTGTGATGGTATAACTTTATTTCATCTTTTACAATCACTTGTAGTCCAATAGCACATCATTAATAATTAAATTATATTCACATCCTCTATTATTTTTCCTTAAATGTCTATTTTTATCTTTTGTTATACTTCATATAAACCAGTGAGATCATTTTAAAGTTGGTCAATTGATTTTTTCTCTTGATATGAACTTGGTGATAAGCACTTTAAATTTTTTCTACATAATGATGAGAATGTAAGATCCAATGCTTAGATTATAAATCATATAGCTTAGCAGTGACATCTTTAAAAGTTGGTGCCTTTAGTATCCTTGTTAGGTGAGTCTTATGCTATAATAACTGTCTTATTATAATTTAAAGAATCTTCCACTGTTTCTAAAAGCTACACGTTGAAGATCATGCTTAGAGTATGTAATCATTTTATCTATATAATCATACAATTAAATTTGATTTTTGAATTGACTTATTCTCATTATATTGATATTGATGGGTTCAAAGAATATCATTTGGTGTGCAAATATCGATGCAACTGAAGCTCTTATTTTTCATCTATGTTTTTCTAAATTTTCTTTTAGCTACTCATCTCCTCTTGTGCCTTTTGCTATCCAATTCTTTGTCTCATCTATCACATTATAAATTAAACCTATAGCTGGCCTTTTCTCTGCATTCCTAAAGTATTAATCTAAAACTTTATAGTTATGATAGCATAAGTTATACTTAATCAAAATTTGTGCACAATGCAATCTTTCTCGCTCATTTTTTTTCAAATTTTTTAGCCATAGCACAATTTAACCATTGCGTGGAGGTGAACATAGTGTCCAAAGATTGCTTTAGATTTAGGATACTTTATATGGTTAAGTAAACCATAATAAATTAGTAGTTGTGGGCTAATGAATTCTATAAGAACTTTCTAATCTTATCTAAAATTTTATTGTGATTGTAAATGAATTTGCTATTGTTTTTCTATTAGTCTAATCATTTTGATGTCAAGACAACCCCGAGTATTTTAAAGATTAAATTAATGCAATTTGCTGCACCTAGACCGCTAAAGATGTTTTCTCTCTTCCATGAATTTATTTTCTATTGCCTTGTAAGTACTTTGTATTGTTAGTAACAACTTGGGCTATGAAATCCTCACTAATCTTCTTTATAACTCCAATTAATTTGAAAATTTGTTATGTATTCCTTACTTGATATGATGCTTCAACCGACTTCAGAAAGGCAGTGCCGAATGGATTATTTATAAGAATGTTAATCAGATTCCTATTTTTAATACATGGCTAAATATTCAACATAATTGGAACTTTGATGTTTTTTTTAAATGTTTTTATAATCTCTTCAATAATTTTTCTATTAGGTTTCTTCCTTCAATATCCATTTTGTAGGGTTAATGCTTCAATTGGATGAACTTATAGGTTGAATCGTGTTAAAATAAGGTGGTGAAGTTGGCACATTAAATGTTTACATTCTCAAAGAGGAGTTTGCCAATATTTTTACGAGTATATGCTTCGATCTCTCTTCCATTTTGTGAAGTCTTTTGATGAGTTACCCTTTTATAATTTTTTTTTTCATCTTTCTCATTCGTTATATATTTCTATAGGTTTCTTAGCATTTTTTTTGGAGTTTTGTATCTTATGAGAAGAAGATTCTATTGTAATAAGAGCAACTATCTACTATGTCAACAAACTGCCATCGTGTTAAAATGCTTTAATATGATCTCTTTAGTTATATAAGCATGAATATCTTCTTTCACATTTTCAAGTAGTTTTGTATATGGTGTAATATTTTTATGAGAACTTGAAAGTCGCTCTTTCATTCTTATTGCATATATTTTAAGTATTTTACTCAATAGTTGTATTAGATATAGAAAGTATCCTAACTCTTTTGAAATTCACACTCAAACGATATACTTTCATGGCAAATCTTTTATGTTTCCCATTGAACTGATTTTCAGAATATCTAACCATTCAGAAATAACTCTCAACTGAGCTTTAATCAAAACAAATAAAGCTTCGTTTAGACAAATAATAAGAAATTCAAATGATCATTGGCAATGACTTAAATTAATAGAAAAAAGAAATAAGAGTATAGAAGAAAAGGAAAACAGAAGTAAAAGAGTTATAAGCGTCAAGAGCAGTGATGGTGGAATAGCGACAACACAGCAGTAGGTCGGTGGGTTCTTGTGAGTTTGAGGCTCTCGATTTAGCATTTGTTTTTTTTCCTAAAGTTTAGTTTAGGCTTAAAAGAATCTTTGTGTTTATAAATTAATTTCACATTTATGCTTAGAAGTCAAAATTTTAAAAAAAACATAACATGTCACTTAGAGGGTTACCTCCTTTAAATCGCATTGTGGTGTGTTAGGTTTGCCTTACTCCCTTTGAGGCTGTCCTGTGTGCTTTGGGTAGAGGTACACTCCTCAAGGCATCTCTCAAACATCATCATTTTAATCCATGAACTTAGTTCCACAGAGTAAATTGTGATGAGATTGGAAATGCATGAAAGTTTTTCAACTTCTACAAGAATGAAGGATTCCTAAGAAGATTCTTAGAGCCGGTGTGTTTATCCATGCATATGAGTTTGTCAAACTTGGATGAAATTAACTTAAGGGAACACAAATTCTAGGAATAGGATGGCAAACATGAATGCTAACCTAAGGTTGTGAAAGTTTCTTAGATCTAGAGTAACCAATATTCTCGAAATTTTTATTCATAATAATAGTATTGCTAGGCTTGATGCAACCTTATTTTATAAGAGATTCAAGAATTTTAGTGGATTTAAAATTGAGGAAGAGAGGACCTGACTAAGTCAAGTGTTCCACTCCTTGCTCCAATGCTGCATGAGTACTTTGAAAATGTTACACTTTTTGATTTTGTTGTCAGGGACAGAGAAAATCATAAAGGTTATAGTTTTTCATTCTCGACAGCTTGAAGAGAAGATGGAGATTGGAACCTCAACTTTTGTGAGAACTGATGAACAAAGTTTTGAAGTATGACACAATTTTTTGCATCTAGGACAAATTCTGGTATTTCTATAATCCCTAGGATGCTCACCTTTACCCAAACATATCAGGCAAATGCTAGGACAAATTCTGGTATTTCTATAATCCCTAGGAAGCTCACCTTTACCCAAACATATCAGGCAAATGGGTGGAGGATGTTTACCAAATGAACATGGAATACTCTTTATATGACACTCAGGTCGACCTCGTTGCCATTTCAAGTGCTGAAGCAACAGAAGTTTTCAAATAGAATCAATTGTTTCACTTTTTGTGAATAATCTGTTCTCAGACTTTATAACATAGATTGAAACATTTGTCTGCCGCGATTGCAAAAATTGTTTCTTTCATATCAAAGATTGTTTATTTTGTTAACATATTATTCACTCTTGCTACTATGACTTAATGTATTTGAAAATATACAGAAAAGTTCATTCTTATTGAAATGTTTACTTGCATTCTCATGCAGGCATTTTATAAGTCTCGCTTGTCCAAAATCCGTGTGACATCTTTCGAAACAGCCTGGACGGATGTTCTTAGGGAGGTAAAACTTCATTTGGTTAACTTAGATTCCTTCTTGCTTATGAGGAAAGATAGTTTTCTTTTTCTTCTGGTATTTTAACCGTCTTTTATTTTCTTTTAAGTTATTCATTCTTTTTCTTGGAAAACTTATTTAATCTTACTTTTAAAAAGTAAAACCATATATTGCAGAAATTTATATCATAAAAGTTTAGTCAAATTTATATTGTTAATCTTTATCCATTATTTGTTGCAATCTCACTGCACTTTATGTTAGCATGCTCCTATTCCTGCGCCCCCCATTAGAAAAGTGAACTTACCACATCAAAGGGTAAGGTGGAGAGAAATTTGAAGTAAAATATATGAAATAAAATTTTTTTGGAACTCTTTATTGTGTGCCATTACTACATGCTTTTTGTCACGCTAGTTTTTGAAATTTCGATGCATAAAAGGTGATAATCATATTCTAACTTTATGCCTTTTTTCCTTGTCTTTTTCTCTTTTTCTTAACTTGCTAATTGTTGAGTATCATAAATACCTCTTATTACTGTCCTAAGAAGCTCTTTTGCTCAGTTGACTCATATAGTATGTATATGGTTGACAGTTTTCTAAATTTTTACAAGATATCAGAAAATACTAAGGTATTCCTTTTCTTGTATGATTCTCCTAAACGGTTGGTAGAGTTTTAGGGAGAATAAACAGAAAAGGTTTATAAATTGAAGTTTATTTATACATTGGAGCACAGCTTGTTCTTTTTTCCTGTAAATTTTTTTTCCTATTGGATTCTTGAGTATAATCTGATTCAATTGATGCTGAAGGCTGCAGCGAGTTATTGTTTTTTGATGTTTATTGCAGGTGTCCATCATGAAGACTTTGGAACATCCAAATATTATAAATCTAATTGAGGTGATTGATGACCCAGATTCAGATCGTTTTTTTATGGGTAACTTGAATATATATTTTTTTAATATGCTTGGAAGCATAGCCATTAATAATTTTATTTTGTTTTAAACAGAATTATACTGATGGGGAGTTGTAATTGCAGTGCTAGAATACGTGGAGGGAAAATGGATTTGTGATTCCTCTGGACAATTTGGTGGGATAGGAGAAGAAACCTCTAGGAAAAGATTGCGGGATATAATATCTGGGCTCATTTATCTGCATGCTCATGTATGTTTTGTCGCCCCAAAGTTTTCTGTTTCAAACGTGTAGCAATGGATCTTTATTCCCCCAACAATTTATTATTTATATCAACATTAGCATTGATTTTGTTTCTAGGTCTTTCTCTTCTGCAATCATTATTCTTCTGTACTATATTTTAATATACAAATGATAGCGTAGTTTGCAATTTCTTGAATACTTAGGATTTAGGGCTAAATTATTTGCTAAATTTCTGCTATCAGATTTATAAACTCATGTGTTCTTATCGGTGTTCTAAATTTTTTTATTTGCTTTCCTCCTTTTTATCGGTTTCTTTGCTTTCTTGTATATTAGCGTTAATATTTGAATAGAGATTGAGATATAAGGCTTGGTTAATACGTTTGGCCGGCTCTAAGGGAAATGGAAATAAGACTGATATTTTACTATGAGGGAGACAACTATAGTAAAAAAGAAACAAAAAACCCTATGCCAAGAAAAAGGTATAAGTATTTTTTTCTTTCCTATATGTGAAAAGTGGTCTGTTAGCTTTTGGTTATTTATTTGTAGCGCTTTTACAATAGTTTTCGATCTTACCGCGGGAAAAAAATAAGTGAATGAAGACACTTGAAAATACAAAATGTTAGTCTAGAAATGCTTCATTTTATTGCTGGTGTATATCTGACATCGAGTATTTTGGAAACCGTATGTGCTGCTTTTCCCCAAAGCGCATTTCAAGCGAAAATTAATCTGTTACACTTTGTAAGCAAGTGAAAAATTGCACTTATCTTTTTCTTTTCAGTTTGGTTGTATTGAATTGCTATTGCTAGGTTTCACGGGAATTGAGTTAATTAGCATCTTGATTAATTGATTCCTTTTTAAAATTAATTTACTTTAAATGAAAAGCTGAACTGTAGGGTAGTATATTGACGATAATAAAGTTTAGAAGGGTGGGCTTTTGCGCCTGAGGGATTTTTCCACGTGTTGCTCTGATGCTGTCCATGGGTTGCTAGGGTCTTTTTATTCATCTTGGAACGCTTTTGCCTTAAAGCGAATAAATAATTAATGCATTTGAAAGATGAATTGAATGGCCTAAGATTATTATAGCACTGTATTGTCTCCAGCTTAAAATGCCATTTACCAGAGAGTCTGGATGTAGTAACTATGCATAACATTTATGTTGACATGATACCTTAAATCCTTGTTTTTGCATAATAGTACTTAATGGATTTGTGCCAAATTGATTTTAAATTCTGGATCGTTAAAGTGTGCTGAGTGAGCCTTGCCCAAACTGCACCACAGAACATTTTATTAGTCACAAACAAATTTGGACTATGATGGACATCATTGCATAATATTATAATTAATTGTGTTCAACGCCAAATAGGTGGGATAAATTACACTTTTACAGATTAACGAAGCTTTTTAGTCCATTATGGAAGCTTTTTATTCGAGAATACAAGTATAATGATATTTTATATAATGTGAACTTAGTATCAGTGATTTTTTTTTCATGAATATCTCATGCAACTAATCCTACACCTCATACCTTATTGGTAGGCTGAAAGTATGTGGCTGGTATTGGACTAATCAACATTATCGTAAACTATTGTAATTAATTATTGCCGAGACTGATTCAATGAGATCGATCACACTCTTTTACACACTATGAAAAGTTTTTAATATATACTAAGAGTTAGTATAATGATATTTTGGCCAATGTGTGAACTTTATCAAGCGTAGCTTTATGATGAATATTTTATACAAGCATTCCTGCTGTAGATACTTTGTCACACCCCAACTAGGGGTCAATTATGGTGCGATAGTGGACAATTCCGTCATATTAAATTCTCACCAGCATTGTCATGACTTGCATAATCAAGACTTAATGGGTGATGAACTCGTCTAATCAAATCATCACAAACGTACCTTATACATTTTATTTCATAAATCATTTAAATTGATATATGCTTAGAAGTGTGTAAATCATATAATCAAAACAATCAAACATCTATATAAAGTTGCTAAATCCAACATAATAAAAATACTTACTTAAAAGTCTGTAAAAACTTCCAAAACTATGAAATACAAAAGTTGTACAAGCACGCATAGCTACTCACCATAGTGCTCGTTACCCCTTTCTGAAAGTCGGCAACATAAATTGGGCTATAACAAGCTTTGTGAAATAATAAAGTCTAAAATACGATTTTATAGGCAAAATACTCATATATAACTCGTGTGCATATTGATAAAACATGTCACAACATCTTATAATCGTGTTAAAAATATAAAAGGGAAGATATGTAATGCAGAGAATCCTGACTGACGTATAAAACATATTTCATTCATTCACATGTAATTATAAACATATTCATAATAATCATCAAAGCAATCATAGGAATGTAGCTTGTAATTGTATAGATATCAATGATTGGACCCTCTCAACACGGTTGTTACCCTTTGGTACCAACAGTTCTCTACGTTTCGTTCATGTCTAATTCCAACCATTCCTGGAGTTTCATCTCTGTGTGAATATTAGAAGTCAAGAATCATATCATTCTCTATCTTTCATACTTGCAAGTATTCATGTAATAGTCTACCTATAACATTATTGATGACATTTCTTAAATCATAATTCTCATAACAAGCATTTAAGCATTTCATATATTATATACATGAATCATAGTAAATGAATACTTGCAATGATTTCATATGCATGTTTATCAAATTCATATTACAATAAAATTATAGGTATTGTAAGTGACAAATCAAATTTACATTCATACTGTTAATGTTGATATTTATCCACAATATATAAAAAATTCTAGATACAATAGTATTATACACATAATCACATATTTTTTTAAAGTTAGCATAGGTTTATTTCACCTGAATTGACAATGTAGCTCTACGATTAGTTTCCCCAAGCTCGCCTCGAGCTCGTTGTCTAGTGTAAACAATCTAAAATTCACAAGCATCTTAGGATTTCATGAAATCTCGACTTTTTTCGTGATTTAATCTCAAACATAATTTTATTACCTCAAATGAGGTTCTCTGATAATTATTCCCTACAAATTTTTTCTATTTCTTTTTTCTTTCATATCCCCTTAACCTTTCCTTGAAGCTCGTGAAATGGACTTACTGGAGAGTGTAGCCCTCGGTTTGACAGTCCCGTGGTTGTTCCCGCAAAGCTACAGTGATAGGGAACTCATATAGAATGCTTGAATTCATAGAAAATGTCAAAATGCAAGTGTAAGGAAGGAAATGAATGTATTGAATATCATAAAAATGAAGTTTATTTTGCCCGAAATTTCCCCAGAACTTCCTGCCGCGAGCTGCGAAGCCCAGATCGCTGCCCGCCCCTTGTCTATTTGCGCCATGTTACAGGAACCGAGCGAAGCTTCTAGCGTGAGGGAGAATTTGGGAGAGGGAAATGGGGACGCAAAATTTAATTTGATTCCATTGGATCTCACCCATTCGAACCATCCCACGACAGAGACTTGTGAAGGATGGTGGTGCTAAAGTGTCGTGGGAGATTAGTGAGTTAATTAGGATTATTGAAGTTTAATTAAACTTATAACTTAGTAATTTTATATCTTTTCATTCGTTTAAAATTCATGCATAATGTTATTATCAAATTGATTGATTCGACGTATATAATTTAATAAAATTGATTTTGTCGTATTTCGAGAAATGTTAAATTTGGCATATACTTTACAATTGCGAATATTTTCACCTGAATTCTCAAAATGGGTGTTACATAGTTGATGTGGAATATTTTCTTTTGTAACATTGAAATCATTTATAATTCATCATTTATTCAGGATACATGTAATTCTCTGCAAATGTCATTTTGTGCTTACAGCGTGTTGTTCATGGGGACATCAAACCTGAAAATCTTCTGGTAACAAAAAGTGGAACTGTGAAAATTGGTGATTTCAGTATCAGTCACGCATTTGAGGTACTTATACCTTTTTCATTCACCACATTTTTTCAGCAATTGCTGTTTCCAATTCATAGCGTGAAATATGTATTTCATAGGTTTGACATATGTAACTAACATTAGGTTTTATGGAAATGTTATTTAAATGAATGATTGTTATCTGAATAAGCAGAGTGACATGTGATGGTGCAAGAACTAATTTGATATTTCACTAATTTTTTTGTGCCAGTTATTCATTGGAGACTTGTTTGATTTACTATTCAGTTTTCCAGCTGAATTTTCTATTCAGATTATAATAGGATGACATTTTTTAGCTCAAAATAAACCTTGATTAGGGCGATGTTTGTAAACTGTGCAAATTCTGAGCTAAATTTTTATAAAATTATTTCACAGGTATTTAAGGATGTACATGTTAACACTTGTTTGAAGATTCACCCATATTTTAATAAAGCTTCAACCTAATGTAGTGGTCATAAGTTAACCTTTGGAAGTTACAGGGCAGGTATCCACATATCAGGGCAGATTTGTGTTTTACAAATTTTTATTTTAAAAACTGGAATAGAAAATATTTATATGGATATAAATATATATAACTTCGCCGACCCAAATAACTGGATTAGGCTAAAGATTTTATGATGATATTAAGCTCATACAAATTTAGCCCAAGGGCTAATATAATGGGTTGATTGTATATATATATATATATATTAAAAAAGCCCAAGGGCTAATATATTAGAAATGAGTGGTACAAAATAGGTTGGATGAGAGGGTCGATTAAGAACCCAAAACAATCGGTATACAACACACACCAAAATCTCCAAAAAAGTACATGTATACCCAAAACTATAATTATATAATCTCTACGCCGAAGTTTCCAAACAGAGCAAAATTCACAAACCATTTGGAAGTAGTAGTTGGATCGGTGAGAGCTATAAATTCCAAATAGATGGAAAAAAATATTTTTTGAGATAGGGAGTCTTCTTCCTACGCAAAATTCACAAGCCGTTTTAGTTAGGTCATCCCCCAGATGCGTGTGTAGGCACGACGACGCAAAATCAAACAGAAGGAAGATATACTTGTTGCACCAAGAAACTAGAAGAAAGGGAGAATGAAAAGCTTTGATCTACCGAGAAGGACCCATGAAAACACCTGTAAAATTCACAGTTCCAAACAGATAATGGGAGCATGAGTACGACCCAAAGTACCCTTACCTCTTACCTCGGGTTCTAGTAAGGGAGCTTGCTAACAAATGATTAAGTTTTTTGCCATTACCCGAAGCAACCAATGTATCATCCATTAAGTTTCTAGGTTCCAGTAGGCGTTTATTTTTCTTCTTTTTCCTAAATGTGTAAACCTGCCAATCCTTATCCGAAGGCTGGCTCAACCGATCAGTGCATTGGTCCAAAAATTAGTCTAAAAATTGTCTAGCAAGTGTAGGTTGTTGTACAACATGATCCCCTTGTGCTTGATTGATATTAAAAACTTGTTCGATCTGATCAGATGGTAGGGCTACAGTAGAAAGCTCACCTAGGGTAGAATCTTGAGCTTGAAGCTAGGGCAATGTTTTCTCATCCTCTACCAACTGAGGTTCCACAGGTGGTATAATAAGTGAGCAATCCCCTTCAAGGGCAAAAGGAGCAGGCTTTAAAGGTTCCTCTACAGGTGAAGAGGTAGTCCCCACTGGGGCAATTAAATCAGACACCGACTCCTGTCTTGTGTTAATTTTCTCCACAGGTGGAGTAGATGTGTTCATAATAGTGAGTTTAGACATATCCTTATGCATTTGAGCTTTAGGTTTCAAGTTAGGGTGGAGCCTGTGACATTTGTGAAGAGTATGCCCAAATATCTTATAATGGGTACAATAAACGGGTCGATGTTCCATTACAATTTGTTGTCAATATCCATCATGTGTTGTGTCCAGCCAGAGTTTTGTAATATCAAGTTAAGTGATATCCCTTTCATGAAGTAATCTGGCAACAAAATGCCTGGTTAGATTGAAGATGAGTAGATCTAGCTTCATAGGATTCCCAAGTATGAGCCAAATAGATTAGAGAACCTGATGATTAAATAGATGTAACATGAGACCAGGTAAACTAAATCATACTGGTATAATTGGAGGTTCATGGTTTGGGTCAAAATCAAGAGACCACTAGAGCAACTTCATTGAATTTAGTGCATAGTTTTCAACCATGGTTAATTGAATCAACACATGCGTCCCATTAGGAAGTACCATTTTTCACTTTCCTACTAGTTTGAGATCTTTAAAAATCTTTTTGATAACTTCCATAGGGGGTGCCTTAACTGAAATTTTCCGATGAGAGCAAACTTGCATTTCTCAGCCAATGTTGAAATTTCTAAATCAGAGAAAATAAGAGTTGCTTTCCCACCCTTTATACTCGTCTTCTTAACAAAAGGGCTGTCACATGTACCACGTTTCTTATAACTTGACGGGAAGACAACAACCGACTCCTCATGGTTACCTAGCACATGGGCTAAAGAGGTTTTGTTTGGTTCAGCCGAAAAAGAAAGGAGCGCAACCATTGAAGTAGGGAAGAGGAAGGCTAACTGAAATTTTCCGATGAGAGCAAACTTGCATTTCTCAGCCAATGTTGAAATTTCTAAATCAGAGAAAATAAGAGTTGCTTTCCCACCCTTTATACTCGTCTTCTTAACAAAAGGGCTGTCACATGTACCACGTTTCTTATAACTTGACGGGAAGACAACAACCGACTCCTCATGGTTACCTAGCACATGGGCGAAAGAGGTTTTGTTTGGTTCAGCCGAAAAAGAAGGGAGCGCAACCATTGAAGTAGGGAAGAGGAAGGTCGAAACTAGAGTTTGTTGCGATGCTCCGATGGAAGTTGGCAGACGCAAACGAAACAAAAGATGCAAACACAGTCGAAAGTGGAAACAACCGAGGTCGAAGACGCACGACGCCACATAAGCCGAGCCTGACGAACGTGAGCTCTTTGACCTCGAGACGACGAAACACGAGCAGTCGAGTCGGGATGAAGACGAAGAATAGTGACAGACGAAAGGACGAAAGGACGAGCACAATGAAGAGAGATGCAGTGGACCAGAAACCAGGGTTTGCCATAGAGGCGAAACCCTAGCAGAGCATGATCAACGAAGACACCGCCATCATATATATATATAAGAATTAAATATGCTAAAATTAGGCTTATATTATTTTAGAATTCGAAATATTAAATTTCATGGGGATCAATTACATATAGACTAAAGTTGACCTAGTGGTCAAATATTGGTCGGAATAATCAATCTATTTATCCTCTTAAATAAAAAAAAAAAAGAAGAGAAAACCTTTCCTCATTGCTTGACCATTAGATTGTAAAGGGGTAACAAGATTGATTCAATTAATTTTGGACCATTCAATCTCTTAATGGAGATTGGTAGTGTTGGTAATTCTATGATCATGCGGATAAGTTTAATATCCTTAAAAGGATGATCAATCTTAGATTAGGTTTGATATATTGTTTTGGAATCATATTAAGCACATACAAATTAAAAGTGTAAAAAGATTGTATATATATATATATATA